ATATCTCTTTGGTTTTGAGACTTTAGTCTTTGCAACTTCAGGGATCTTATCTATGCACAATCAGCTTGTAACACTCAAAAGAGAAAGGAATACTTGAAATCGTATCATATGACCCCTTTAATATAAATATATATATATATATATATATATATGTCTTTCCTAAAAAAAAGACAGCTTTTTAAGACAGCTTAAGTGATGACTAATTACTCTGAGCAGTCACTGTATCTTGTTAAACAGATTTGAAAAGGCAATCTTATGTCACAATCTGTCTGAATATTAAATTCATATTATGAATATGGAATAGTAGTATGGTTAAATAATGTTTATGGCCAAAACTGTGACCTGTACATCATTTGAATGATTTTTGATTGTTTCATTGCTTGGTGCTTATAAACAGCCTACACTAAGACTACATAAAGGATAATCTACAGTCAATACAGACCCGTGCTCTGCGTAGGGGCAATGATCACGCTGTCTGGCTGCCTGTACATTTTCCTGCTAATTATATGGCTACTTAACAAATAAATAAATAAACCAATATGAAATATAGATTTTCTTTCTTCATGACACAAATAAACCAGCTTTGAGGGAAAGCATGACACTACACACTTTGATTTGTAGAAAATGTATATTTGAAATTCAGACAAAAAGTAAAATAAAAAAAATTGTAATCAATATATTTTTTTTACCACAAATACCATGATTAAACTATGGTTAGTGTAGCAAAACGTCTCGGTTACGTATGGTAACCCTCGTTCCCTGAAGGAGGGAACGGAGACGTCACGTCGGTGACCGACGAATTGGGATATCGCTTCGATAGACCAATCTACTTCGAGTGTAAACTAAACGAGCCAATGCACATTGGCATGCAATTATTGCATCCAGCTGCCGCTGATCACAGCGTGAGTATAATAAGGCAGCAGGTGCAATGCATACCAGCTTTTCGCTGAGGAGCCGAGCCGGCGATCCGGCCGCTCAGCGGTGGTACAGCAACCGTGGCGACGGGACGTGGCGTCTCCGTTCCCTCCTTCAGGGAACGAGGGTTACCATACGTAACCGAGACGTTCCCTTTCAGTCGGTCACTCCGAGTCACATCGGTGACCGACGAATTGGGATCCCTACCAAAGCGCCATGGTGCTGCCCCTTCCAGTGCCCTGTGCGAGCCGCCTGCGCCCCTATCTGGTGTAGGCCGGGGCACGGGACAAGTAGTTCCACTCACAATTTTTCAAAGCACTACCTTACTGAGTGAGATTGGTGGACTATACACATACGAGAACCGCTTAGGTCTCAATATGGAACCCAGCGTTCCGCCGCGTCCGCTGCCGAGGGTGAAGGAGGATCTCAACAGGGTCTACTGTAGGACACTCTGGAGCAGTTTTAGCAAGCCGACACTAACCGGGGCCTCTCGGCGCCACTACCCGTTTGAAGTGAGAACACAGGAGGATACCGGCTCCACACAGAGGCTATAGAATCTAGCGAACGTGTTGGGGGTCGCCCAGCCCGCAGCCCTACAAATATCTGTCAGTGAGCTCGC